AGTCCATACGCGGATTTTGTTGGTGATTATTTTCCATATTTCTTATAACTCCGTTATAACATACAATTATAAAGCGTTTTACTGCAAAAATTATAATCCGTTAACTTCTGACACCATGTTGTATTATGGGTATATTTATTAATATGTACACAGAGCGTGCACTTGTAATATATAACACAGACACGTGTTACTAGTTCTATCGTTTAATGATAACTGGATATTCCAAGTATATAAGTGGCGGGAAGATAATGGACATGCGCATTACAGTATAAGATATTATTAAGATGAAACATATGTTTACAATATACAAGAAATTTCGGATAAATTTTGTAAAAAGTCTAAACGTATGACAGACACTTTAATGGTCATTTTTGAAAATGCCATAGCTTGCACTGCGGGTTAGTGATATTTTTAAAGGAATCGGTCGCATTCTGGAGAATGCTGCACCTTCATGAAGATTGCCCATATTGGTATATTTTAGGTGTGATTTTGACTGGGTGGGGGTAAATATAAATTGCTGTCAGTCATTTATAAGGAGCAATGCATGCAAACTATTATTTTCTGCAATGTATGTCATATATCATTGAATAATGCTGTGCAACTGGTTATCTGCCTGTGAAATAGATTTTGAAATATTTGGAATTGTGTTTCTGGTCACACTGAAATACAAAATTGTTCATTTTTAGGTCCCTGCCCCCTTATTGTATATTTTGCAGCACTAAATACAATACAGTTTGAATGCACAGCATTATATCACTCGAGCTACTTCCTCGTGATATAATTCCTTGCATCCGAACTATAAACAGTGAGTTTTAGCAATGAATATTAGGGATATGTTATATCTTCATTATTGTGTTCACCATTCTGGCCTTGAGTAGTTGTGTCACATGTATTTCATGACAGACAATTGTACATTTGTTCACTTTTCAAAAGGGTTTCTTAAAAACATTTGATATTTATGTTTAAAAGAGTTGTAATGTCGTATGCACATCAATGTGCGATCCAGTATGTCTGAATCATGTTTACTAAGAGGATAAAAGTAGCTATTTTAAGTTAAGAGGAAAACCAAAATCAAGAGACATATTAGAAACGAACACTATCACATCATTGCTAAAATTGGGGAATAATATAATACAACTAATGAGAGATTAGTAATTTCTAACACAAAAAAATAGAAACGTTTAGAAGCGTTTCGTTTTTGTATAAATCTCACCTAATGACTTTATACTAAACATCTGACCAAGTATAACAGAAGCCATATAGAGACAGTTTGTATGTGCTCTTACAATTGTAAACTTTTGTTATGCAATACAAAATGCTTCACATGTATGTAAGTATCCTCTGCAAAACTTATGAATTATTCTTAAAGAAACCAACGGGCTTTTGTCCCTTGTCATTTTGTCAAACTTAAGCTGGGTCAGTTTATCATTAAGCCAATATCAAATGTGACAAAATCCGTCATCGTCTTCTGTTTTCGCTTTTACATTTCAAATGTTGATCCCCTCATTGATCTATATATAACATATTGGCTACAAATCACCATTTTCGGATCACATGTTTGTACGTACCAAAATTTTGCTTTTATCGAACCCAACACAAAGAATGGGCAATTTTTTTTATCCCAGAATGGACAGGTTGTATATGTACCAGACTCTTAACTTGTGTAACTCGTATGTGATGTTTTTACCACAAAGAATTGTTTTACTGAAAGAAAATACAGCGTGCGAAAATCACATGACCAAATAATTAATCAAACATAGGATAAAAATAGAAGGAAAATATAAAATGAATGGAGCCATAACACATTAACTTAGACGTGAACGACAAAAAATTGCTGCCCCACCTGGAATTAACGATTATTAAATGCAGTAGTAAAAATTAAACTAAATGAGAACTATTACATATATAACTCACGAGCAAGACATTTTAAAGTTTTTGCAAAATTTACATTTTTTAAATTTCCCTTACGCATTTTGTTGTTAAATTTGTAGGAAATTTCAATTTATTTCTACTTTTTGTGCCGGTAATTGCATGTAAATTCCGGTTTGAATTAAAGGGTAAACAAATCTTGGTAATCGTTACTCAATAATTGTCATAATTACTCCATTGTATGTGTCATATGATTACATACATTCTATTTGACATTATAAAAATAGTAACAATTGTTTTGTCATTTTCGATACAAGGCAATATGTTGAATACATAAAATGCAGACTGAAACAACTAATAATTTAAACAATTGTCTCAAATGCCTCATGTTCTTGAATTTGAGTAGTACCAATAATTAATGGTCTTGTAATATCATTTTCGAAACAATGTATTATGTAACATTATGTTACATACTGAAAGTATATATTTCGCATAACTTATAAATAAATCTGACTTATAACCAACTCAAATATAAAATATATTGCATTTTCAAAACAAAACTATCTTTTTGTTTTAATAAATGTTGTTTATTAAAACAACTTTGTTCTGAACAATTTTTTTAAACACAAACATTGCATAAGCTACCTTTATGACTTTCACTTGTAAACATGTATATATAAATATAGTGAACGACACATTTTTTGACAATTTTACCTTCAATCTTTAAGGGACAAAATCAGACGTGTGTTCACAAATACATTCACTATCGGAATCATCTGAAACGATCGCACGCGGTTAATATTAACGGGCGTCTTTGCGGTCCTTTGGCTATTAAAAGGGGCTTAAATGACAAGTGAAAATCCTACTTTTATTCAGTTCACCCCTGTGTATTTCACAGGGTATCGAGCTGAATCTATACAGCCTAAGGCTGAAAAGTAACGATGAGTTAAATTCATTTTTATTTCAATTATTCAGGTGTAATCCTGTTTTGGTTTTAAAAATTGTAAATGTAAAAGGAAGAATTCATTTAAAGTGTTTCAAACTTTTCTTTGGTCCAAATACTACATGTACATGTAGTATTTTTAACATTGCAAATTTGGCAAAATTTAACGATCGCACAAATTTTCAGTGTTCCAACGAACGTTATACTTTTACATTAAACGCTATGATCACTGCTTTTATAAACTTAATAAAATAGCCATTTCTTGTCAGAATGACTCAAATTTTGAAATAATGTCTCTTAAATTTAATAAAATGTGTTGGTGGAATATATGGAAAAACATACGACAAATTATTAATAAACAATCAGTACAAATTATCGTTCAAATAGTTCTGCAATCAGAACATCCTCGACTATTATACAATATGACCTCAGACACAATACTGACCACGTTGTTTTAGATGTAAAATAAAAACAGAGCGTGTAATCTTTGATAATGTATTACGATTGTATACGTTTGCCATACATAGAAAAATAAGGTCTTTTTCGGTAAAATTATTATTGAAAATATGTCTGACAATCATAACCAATTGAAAAATGCCCACTGATGTGGAATTATAAACAAATACGAATTTATGTCAACCGCTAGACATTTTGTACTATCGATTTCTACGACCATAATATTAATTATATAAATTCTGTACAGTTTACTTTTATATCTTTAAATTTACTTAATTTAGATGGACTTTTACTAAATATTTTGGAATAAACATAGTCAACAACTCAAAGCATTTAATCACTATTTGTTTACATGTTTAGTTTCTGAGCGTATAACCGAATAACGTATGACCGAATAACGTATCCTACTATGGTGTTCGAGGTCCTAATCTAAATGCTGAGGGAAAGGGCCGAAAAGTTACGATTGATAGTTCTGATGCGCTGCGCCGGGTGCGTGGTACCATGGTTAGTTAATATCACAGGAACATGCGTTTAGCACAATAATTCAATAAACTTACGCTGAAATTGTTGTTTACCATTGCCCTATTTTAATGGAATGTGAAGATACATACTCTTAGTCCTTTTTCTTTTTGAACAATCTTTGAGAGCAATAGAATACTTAATTGTTTATTTGAACATTTTAAGAAATCCATTTGAAATTCAACATAAAAAATGAGTCAGGCAGATATAAAGAGACAGGGTTGACACAGGGTTAATGAATAATAAAAACGAATATATGTTTTTTTAATATAAACAGCGAAGATGAGTTCTATTTTGTTGTAAATATTCGTTGTATACTGATTAAAAGAAAAAATATATAAAATAACTTTTTTGTTAGATAAACAGAAATTTAAACTATTTAGCAGAAGTTTTTTTCATTCATTCAAATGAATTGATGTGCAGAAAGCTGGACTTGGCCTCCTATGAGCATTACTTATAAAGGGAAATACATTTAAGATTTATTGCGTGAAACAACTTTACTCAGAGCTTAGACATTGTGCATCTAGCAATGTCTTGTTAACCTTTACACAACTGATATTTATCATGCCTTTTGAGTCAATATTGGAAAATTTATTAGTTAGCCTTTCCTAACACATCCGTCCTGTCACAGAATATTAAACGAGTAATAATACAGACTTTATGAAATTAAAAGAAATTCATATCAGTATGTTATCAAACACTAGAGTATCCGTTTGTTTGTTTGTTATAATATGTTTTGTATATTGAGTTTCATGTATAAAACTGTAAAAAGCAAGTAAGTGGAGGCAGAAATCTGTAATAAGCACACTTCTACTTACTTCAGATTCTTGCACTGCTTCTATAACGTATTTTATCTTACTGCACACTATAAATACATTATAAAATAATAAAATATATACTGATAATTTGAAACATCAAATATCGCAGTTCCTTTTGTGCTGTCATTACATCTCGGAACGTTTCTTTCATTCTTGCCATCTTGGTGTTTAGCCTCTAGCCTCCTGGCAGCAACTGAATATCCCTTTGCAACCAATGCCGACCACTTGTCAAGATTTTCACCTCCACTTTTCAGTCAGTACAAATTTGAACTTTTTCGTAGAATCAATCAATGGTTTTGCCCAAAATGAAAACTGGACACGTTCATTTAGATATTCTGCGAAATATGGTTTAAAGTTTGTCACTAAATTTCTAGAACTTGTACAACTTTTTTTAGTAGCTTCATGTGGTACATATCTTCAACAAGGCATGCCACCAGGGAAGAAATCGAAACTTTCTACACAGTATAAACGGAGAAAACGGAGAAAACGTAAACACGACGAAGTAAAGAAGACCGGTGAGCTTTGATAATGATTTTTAATGACAAAGTATAGCTTGTTGTCAACTGTTCTATACTCTATATCCCATTCTTGATAATTATTTACAATTAATAATTCTTACCATCTTGTTAAAAAAGACAATCAAAGAAAAGAACATTTCAAGATTTTAAATTAACGAAATATTGCTTTTTAGAAATATTTTAAAAATCAGGTTTTCAATATTTGTATCTTCATCGCCATTGACAACTATGCTCAATTTTGAAACATGTAACCGTTTAAATTATTTTAAGGCGAGACATTTACCTATAATTATAATAACTTCAATCTGAGCTATATATGTATAAATTCTAATTTAATCAGTCCAATCATATACATACACAATTTGAATGACTTTCGGAAATATGTCTGTAAAATAAATCATAGCATGACATCGGACAACTTTATTTGCGCTTACTGGCATACCAAGTGTACAAAATCGACCTAACATTTGGGCCACTTAGAAGTTATTTTCTGCGCCAGCTATTTTATTTTTAAACACGGGTAGACTCAGATCAGGGTTGGACAGCCTGTTGCACAACTATGAGAAAATTATCTTTGTATCATTACTTTGATTTTGTATTGCAATGAATGTATCGGGTTCTGAAATTTTCTTTCAAACGGCATTACAATACCTTGTCATATAATCAAATTATTACTGTTTATTATAAGGCAGATATCAAAGTATACGAACTCTACAATAGTTACAAAAACAGAGCTATTTTCACAAACTAGGAAATATAAAGAAAATTTAATAAAACCGACATAACAATCAAATTAAAACTATCATATATGGTTAAATTAACATATCATGGTGTCAGTATCACCCTCAACAATAACAAATCATACACATTGTAATTATTAAAGATTTTCTGCACAGCTTATACAGACAAAGGTCTCAGTCAATTAAAACAACAATTTAACCTTAAACATGTATACAGATATCAGTGAATAACTAGAGTGAAACTTAAACGACAAAGTTTTGGTCAAACTACAACTTTAATATACCATAGGTGTTAGTAAATGGCTAAATAGCATGGACTAAAGAGTTTAAGTTTATATATTGATTAAGTGCTCATGATTTTCTCCAGATAGCTTTTGATCAAGCAACATTCAAAATTTAAATTGAGTATTTCCGAATTACCAGGTTCTAACATAATAATCTGAAACATTTTATTTAGAACAAATTAATACAAACAAGTAACTTTAAGAAACAGAGTGTCTCTATTAAGTGAACAAGAGAACATTTCTGATTTTAAAGCAGACTGTGAAAGTCTACGGACTTTACACACACTGAGAAATTATAAAAATCTGGAAACAAAGTGATCCGTCGGAAGCATTAATCACAACAAAATTACTTTAGAATTGCAGACTCGGTTTGATTGAGTCTGTACATAAGTCGGCACTTTCAGTTTGAAGTTTCCTCTCATAAATTACAATGGCAGGTCCTCAAATTGCCAGAACTTAAACTTGAATTTAAATAAAACCCTCTGATTGGTGCTTTTAGTGCTGAGAACTGGCTGGCTTAGTTTAGGCCTAATGCTTGAAAAGGGCTCCCACGACTCGTTTTTTTATCCGGCCAGAAGAACAAAGGTTCTTTACTAGATGACACGCGTGCCATAAAAGACACTCGCAGGTTGTCATTCATCTGTCCCACAAAAACAGTTTATTAAAGAATCATCACCAAGCTGACATAATCATCCACACAGTACTGGTCATACCTGAAATACATATTTATAAAATACATTATTCTCTGTTGCAGTCACAATACGAACAGAAGTACAACGTTTAAATGATAAACACTAATTAGATGAGTGCTAAAGATGTTGACAGTAGCATGAACTTGATTGGGGACAAGGGTTAGTAAGCATTCAATCACTTCGGTGCAGTTGAATCACCCTGCTATATGTCCTGATATTCTAGGCAATGATTGTTACTGTAGCATACTTACACTTAGTCCTAACAGTGCTTTTCGCTGATAACTAAAACTCTCGAAATTAAGAGAAATGTGTACATAACAGAGGAAAATTATAGTGCAACATACAGAAGTACAGTCAGCTTAAACTATTGAGAGGATTACCAGAAACCGTGTTAATTATGAGTGAAACTTTTGGCTGGTCCTTGGTTGACATCTTAGATTTGGCTTTTAGATTAAATAGTTAGTATTTATAAATGTCCAAATAAGTTCTTTTTATGCCACCGCAGCATCTGCGATGCGGTGGCATATAGCGATTCACCTGTGTGTATGTGTGTGTGTGTTTGTTTGTTTGTGTGTGTGTGTGTTATATAGATTATATAGTGAACTTAAAAAATCTTCTTGTGAAAAACCACTAGTCCAATTTCAATTAAACTTGGCAGGATTGATCCTTGGGTGAAGGGGTTCCAAAGTTGTTCAAAGAATTTCATTCCATGCAGAAATCTGGTTGCCATGGCAACCAAAAGGAATTAAATGAATAAATTTAAAAAATCTTCTTGTAAAGACACAAAAGGCCTAGAGCTTAGATATTTTGCATAAGGCATTGTGTGGTAGACCTCTACCAAGATTGTTCAAATTATAGTCCTGGGGTCAAAATCGAACTTGATGGGGACAAGGGTTAGTAAGCATTCAATCACTTCGGTGCAGTTGAATCACCCTGCTATATGTCCTATATGTACATATAGTAAAAACTTAAAATATCTTCTTGTAAATACTGAAAAGGTCTAGAGCTTAGATATTTTGCATAAGGCATTGTCTGGTAGACCTCTACCAAGATTGTTCAAATTATAGCCCTGGGGTCAAAATTGGCCCGGCCCCGGGGGTCATTGATTTTCACTATATGTACATATAGTAAAAACTTAAAATACCTTCTTGTAAAGACCCAAAAGGCCTAGAGCTTAGATATTTTGCATAAGGCTTTTATGCCACCGCAGCATCTGCGATGCGGTGGCATATAGCGATTCACCTGTGTGTATGTGTGTGTGTGTGTTTGTTTGTTTGTGTGTGTGTGTGTTATATAGATTATATAGTGAACTTAAAAAATCTTCTTGTGAAAAACCACTAGTCCAATTTCAATTAAACTTGGCAGGATTGATCCTTGGGTGAAGGGGTTCCAAAGTTGTTCAAAGAATTTCATTCCATGCAGAAATCTGGTTGCCATGGCAACCAAAAGGAATTAAATGAATAAATTTAAAAAATCTTCTTGTAAAGACACAAAAGGCCTAGAGCTTAGATATTTTGCATAAGGCATTGTGTGGTAGACCTCTACCAAGATTGTTCAAATTATAGTCCTGGGGTCAAAATCGGCCCCGCCCCGGGGGTCATTGATTTTCACTATATGTACATATAGTAAAAACTTAAAATATCTTCTTGTAAAGACTGAAAAGGTCTAGAGCTTAGATATTTTGCATAAGGCATTGTCTGGTAGACCTCTACCAAGATTGTTCAGATTATAGCCCTGGGGTCAAAATTGGCCCTGCCCCGGGGGTCATTGATTTTCACTATATGTACATATAGTAAAAACTTAAAATACCTTCTTGTAAAGACCCAAAAGGCCTAGAGCTTAGATATTTTGCATAAGGCATTGTCTGGTAGACCCTTACCAAGATTGTTCAAATTATAGCCCTGGGGTCAAAATCGGCCCCGCCCCAAGTGTCATTGATTTTCACTATATGTACAAAGAGTAAAAACTTAAAATACCTTCTTGTAAAAACCCAAAAGGCCAAGAGCTTAGATATTTTGCAGAAGGCATTGTCTGGTAGACCCTTACCAAGATTGTTCAAATTATAGCCCTGGGGTCAAAATCGGCCCCGCCTGGGGGGTCATTGGTTTCCTTATATGTATATAGTAAAACTTATAGTAAAAACTTTCTTCTAGCAATTGACAAATGCTAGAGGTTAGATATTTTGCATGAAACATTGTGAAGTGAACTTCTAGCAAGATTGTTGTTGAATTATAGCCCTGGTGTCAAAATTGCCCCCGCCCCAGGGTCATTGATTTTAAATATATATATAGTAAAAAATCTTATTGTCTGAAGGTAAAAGGCTTAGAGCTTTAATATTTGTTAATTGGTATCATCTATAGGAACTCTACCAAAGTTGTTCAAATTTTGCCTTTAGTGTCAAAATTAGCCCCACCCGGGGGCCATAGGTTTTCCTTATATGTATAAAGTAAAAACTTAAAAAAATCATCTTCTTTAAATTTACAAAGACTAGAGTTAAGATATTTTGCATGAAACATTATGTAGTGAACCTCTAGCAAGATTGTACAAGTTATAGCCCTGGGGTCAAAATTGGCCCGACCCCCAGGGGTCATTGATTTTCACTATGTACACATAGTAAAAAAATAAAAAATATTTTTGTCTGAAGGAACAAGGGATAGAGCTTTGATATTTGCTATATAATATCATCTATAGGTCCTCTACTAAAGTTGTTCAAATTTTTCCCCTGGTGTCAAAATTGGTGCTGCCCAGGGGCAATGATTCTCATTATGTACACATATTAAAAACAGAAAATAAAACAAATGTTTTCTGAATGGGAGAAAGCTACAGCTTAGATATTTGACTTGAAATGTTGTTTGGTGGACCTGTATCAAGATTGTTTTGAATTAAACCCTTGGGTCCAAAATTTTGCCTTGCCCAAGGGGACAGTGACCTACTTTCTTGTCCTTTGATGTACAGCAATGAAATTTTGACCATGTGCACAGTTTTAGTTGTAAAATTGAACTTTGATATCAGGTGACCTAGATTTTGTTGATGTGACCTACTTTCTGGTCCTTTGATGTACAGCTATGAAATTTGAACCCTGTGCACAGATTCAGATGTAAAGTGAACTTTGATTTCAGCTGACCTAGATTTTGACAAAGTGTCTTACTGTGTTGTCCTTTTGATGTAGTCATGAAATTAAGGCTGTGTGAAATATGACCTTCACCACCAAATTCACTAGACTCGAGTGCATTGATACATTCCTACTCTGATCTTTTATTGAGTTAACATTAGATTTAACCACTTATCTGATAATAAGAATAAGATAGGTCAGGGATCTATGCTTTATGACAATCTTCAATATTGTAAAGAAACAAAAAAAATCTGTTCCTACACTACTATTTAGTGTTGTATTAATGCGGTGGCATAGCATTTTTCTCAAATGCAATCTTGTTTTAAACTGTACCAATTTATTCATGCTATATTATACATATATAAAATATACTAGATATTACAGATGCCATTAGTTTTTTTTCCCAGCTGTAGATTTCTCTTTCCCACCTGTAAATTTCTCTGTACCACCTGTAGATTTTTCTCTCCCATTTGAGGATTTATCCGTACCACCTGTAGATTCCTCTTTCCCACCTGTTGATTTCGTAAATTTTGCTGAGGGATTAAGGTTGAAGGTGGAATTTATAATTAGTCACAGTATATTGGACCATGCACATTACATTTTCTTTGAGATATTTAAGAAAATATTAAAAGCAGATGCTTATCATGTGCAAACACAAATCTGTATGTTATCAAAAGTGTATCCAATGAAAATAAATAAACTGAAATTTGTCTTCAAATTTACATCAGGCATGATAAAAAATCTGGCAGAAATAGGAATGGATAAGATTCAGACTAGATCTTTTCCATGACTCTGCATATCGATAGTATCACATAAACCGCGGCGCACGAGTGTAATAAAGCCATTCAATAAAAACGATATTACACTAGTGTAATAACACTTTGACGTGACGTCATTTGCGCTATATATAAACAGAGCGTTAAAGCGCTAATGTTAGCGTAACACTATAGGCGCGTCATTGAAAAAATTACCCATTTAAACAGTTAACTGTTCTATTTTATATATGTGATAAATAGAACATTATATTCGTGTAGATTCAATACTGAGTTTATTGAACTCGTTTAATAAAACAATATAATGCTCGCTAGAGTCTCGCATAATATGATTTTATTTAACTTGTTCAATAAATTTAGTATTAAACTACACTCATTCAATATCCTCTATTTCTCGCACACTTCAGATGTCAAACATGCCTGGCAAAACCAGGAGAGGTTTCTACTATCAACTGTCAGTGAAGTATCAGTGTTCCTAATAGTATGTAACTTTCGGGGGGTTCCTACAAGTGTTGACAACTCTGGGATGTTTCATCTGTCAACCTCATATTTGCCTATGAAGACAAACTCTCTAATTTTGCCTGTATTGTCCTTTTCATTCATATTTAGACCATGCGACAATGTTTCTTTGCAGTGATAAAACAAATCAATGGCGCTTGCAATCATCTTTCCAGTTAACATTGCTCTATAGCATGAAATTTTTACTATGGCTCTGAGGCCGCCTCACACGATTTTTCCATGTGAAGTTTCAAAACAATGTCCTGACAACTTGTATTTTCTTTCACTCAAATATGAAAACCTTATTTTGCACTTGTATTAGGCAGTACAGCCATCACCCCAACGTGTAACTGTTTCAATGTCTATTTCCTTCTTGATAATACCAAGCGACTTATCTTCAAATACTCGTACAAGACTGTAGTCCTGTTTCAGGTCATTTTTTATATTTATTCCTATTATTGTGTGTTCCACAAGAATCTTCCTGTCATAAGTTTTCTTCTTGTAGTAGTTCATAAAAGGATGAATGGTTACTAAATTTTGGCCGAAATAGGCACTCTGTACTTCATTTTGGAAACTGCATTTGTAATTTTCAGAAAAGTCAATAATGGTCATCAGCTGTTTTTTTTCTGTGAGACATTTAAGTAACTGATCATGCTGCCATGCAGCCCTGAATTTATGTCCAGGATACTCTTTCATTCCACTTTTAGGATCGTTTAAGAATTCTTCAAAGTCAGTACTTTTCGGGACACAGGAAATGATTCGTTTGTTAGAATTATCCTCCCTTTCTACAGTGATATATATCCATTTGTACCACGAAATTTTTCACTCTGTATCTTTACAATCTTGACTGATGGTTTTAGATACTAGGTTCATTAACTGTGGTCCATATTCTTTACATTCTTTTCTAAGACATGCTTTCTTATAATACCCATTATCCGGCTTTTGCACACAGTCTTCCTCATCGGTTCACCTTTCTCTGTAGATAGCTTTTCAATGGATTTGAAAGCATCTGTTCGCAGAAAAGTCTTCAATGCGTCACACTTCAGGGCTATGTTGCAACATATTGCACACAAACAGGATCTGCGACTTGTTTCCGAGACACGGCGAACATGCTGTGGTTTCAATTTCTTAACCCAACCCAACACTATTAAGTGTTGAGAATTGATAACTGCTAAAGTCGGTGCTAGGGGGCGTGAGGATGTTGCACTTATTCATTATCCCTCATGTATAGACTCAATCAAACCGAGTCTGCAATTTTCATGTAATTTTGTTGTGATTAATGCTTCCGAGTAGACATGAGTTTTCTTGTTTGTTCTTTTACATGTTAATAAAACTGTCTGTTACCACTCTTTATTTCTGCCCTTTATTTCGAGCGCTTTAGTTGCCATCTCTTACGATCTTTTTTCCCTTGCATTTTCAATTTTATCCGGATTTCCTTCAATTTTTTACGGTACCTTCTGATTATTTAAGTTCTGGATAACTTACTTTTTTGTTTCACTGCTATTCTCAGTTCCTGTAGTTTTTTTTCTAGTTTTCCTAGTTTTCATTTTTATTTTGTTTCCTGCGAAGAAATAGCTAAATATTTAAAGACCAAGTTTATTTAAAGTTCTTAGACCTTTTTACTATCTTTATTTATAAGCACATAAATTATCCTTCAATAATATGTTCCGAATCCCAACATTTTCAATATATATCGGGATGTAAAATAAGTACATGAACATTTTGGTTCAAACCATTGTTACTTTTAGCGTACATCAAATGAATCTTTTACTATTTATAGTCTAAATTACGACACATAATTATATAAATCAAGATTGACTTGAAACAGTAACAACTATGAATACTTAATATTCTAGGAAAGATTTATCATTTGTTATAAAAAAGTGTGATTAAATAGTTTTATAGGTCCTGATATAATAGGTCTACGGACAAAGTATTCCGAAAAATATTTCTCCCCTAGTCTTCTGCAACTGCTGTATAATCATGTTGCTGTTCATTTTTTATCATTCTGTAATAGATAACGACAGATTCATTTGATATAAATGGCAATCATGTTGGAAGTTTGTATACGGACTACCAAAAACATATCATTTTGGGTTTGAGCAAACTTTGACAAAACCACTTTAATTTTTTCACACTACATTACTATTATGTGTCGGTTTGACGTAAAACCCTATCAAACAAAAAAACTACATTACTGTTTTGTAGTTATCTGATTGAAACGTGGATGATTGTCTATTATAAGTACAATTCATCATGTGTCATTTATGATGGTCAAAATATTGCAAAACATAGCGATAAATACATTTATATATAGCTACATAATTGCCACAATTTTGCCCGATTTAAATAAGGTAAATGTATTTATTTCATAAGACTTTTATTTATCCAGAAATCTTAATATTATTATAATCTGCTTTCTTGGCTTTTTTACACTCTCTCTGAAGAGTAGTAAAAATTGGCTGGAACATGGAAATTGCTAAAAAATGCTTATTTTTTTCAAGAATGATACAGTTCACCGACTTTATCTTTCATCATGTCATTCCATGTTATATATTGCCAGAAAACTACAAGACTCAACTATATGATAATTATATTAAATCAGTGATATTTCTTATCAAGTTTTGTAGTCAGGGTTATAACAAAGCCATTGTGGTGATTCCTACCCTGATCTGAGCTCACCCGAACAGAGAACAGAACAGAACAGAACATAGCTTTTCTTACTTACAAACAATCCAAAATAGGAACAACACATGAGTAATATAATTTTTCAAATGTTTTAAATCCACAATGTTTTAGCCCATGTACTTTTGAAATAAGGCTGCCAAGAGCCCGTCCTGCGCTTTTTGAAAGTGTTTCACAATTGTAGTTAAAGTCGTGTTTTTCATGGAAAATAACACCAAGGTATTTATATTTGTCGACTGTTTCAAGATAATTAGCTCCGATTTTGAATTGATAATCACTGCGGTTCGTTCGTCCTTTCCGGAAGTGTATTATCTTGGATTTTTCGCAGTTAATCAAGACTCTCCAACGCTTGCACCAGTCTTGCATTGTATTCAACATTGTTTGTAGATTTTCTTCAGAATTGGCAATCAAGACTATATCGTCCGCATATAGTAGCATTGATATTGATGTGTCCCCCACCTTGACTCCTAGGTCAAGGTCGTTGATTTCCCTAACTAAGTCATTAACGAAGATAGCAAAAATTGTCGGCGATAAATTGCATCCTTGTTTCACACCTTTTGAACAAATGAACCAGTCTGTGAGTTTATTATTAATGCGCACACATGACGTTGAATAATTGTATATACTTTTCACTGAATTATATATTTTACCATCAAATATATATACTAGTAATTGTTTATAAAAAAAACCTTTTGAATCAACAAATACTAATGTTGTTGTTTGTTCTACTGCTTTTAAAATTTGTAACGCTTTCAGTTATCGATGATAAAAGAGAAGCAGAAAATGGCGTTACCAAGACGGCAGCGGCAGTCAACGAAACGGAGTGCACCAATGTTTCTCTCATTATTCACAAGCAGCCATCGTCATGCGTATGATTTCAGTTTGTTGTCATATTAATAGACATATGTTCTAAATGCAAAAACGTACTTTCTCATAATTTTAATATCTTGATTTTGCAAGTTTTTTCTCAGTAACTAAAAAATTGACGAAAATAATTGTTGTCATCACAAAAGTTCACTGTTTGTTATCGATCGAATTTTAAGCATTTTATAAAACTAATGCTCTTTGTTTATCATTTAACTCAAAATTACCTAAAGATCTGTTTTTAGTTATGATTTTTTGACAAATTATTTAATTTCAGTAAGAAACGAAACTTATTGCAGCAATGGAATAAACTGAACGGAATATGATACAATTATAAAAGTGTTGCTTTCTTACGCTGTAACTTGATATTTTATGCTTGAGTTGTCTGTTCCACTTCAAGTATTTCATAACTAGAAGTTCAAAGAAATATTTTTCTACATTTTTCTTTTGTCAAATTTTTCATTTTTTGCAAACATTTCATGGATACATTTGTTTACAATCAAAATCACAAAAATAGTCGTGATATGGTTTTCGCTTGTTAATTGAAAATGAGTGAATTGTCTTATAATTGTGTAAGCCAAGGATGACAATGAATCTCAAAGCGAGCTTTTTGGATAGACTTTATAATATACTTCACTGTTACGACGATTTTAAAATTCAGTTAAAATTAAATTTCGGGAATAATAATTACAATTCGGCCAAAAGGATGTAGTGAAACGAACCCTGCCGGAAGTTGATATTGAGTCAGCGTCTTTTTCTATTTATTCAGTATTTTATACTGAAAAATAATATTATTATTATTTTTTACGGTAATTTATTAAAAGTTTTAATGAATCAGTTAATTTTTAGTTCTTTACGATTTATTAGTCCCCTACCGGTTTAACCGGATGGGACTTAAGGTTTACCCTCCGTCCGTTTGTCTGTCTGTCCGTCTGTCTGTCTGTCAGTCTGTCTGTCTGTCTGTCAGTCCGTCAGTCCGTCCACAAAACTGGATCCCGCGATAACGCGAAAAGTACTGAAAATATTTTTATGAAACTTGATATATGGATAGATGGCAGTATGGAGATTATGCACGTCTTTTTTTTTTCTTCCTATGTTGAAAATTCTGGTTGCTATGGCAACAAATAGTCTGAAAATATGGCAAACTTAACACATAAACTGGATTCAGTGATAATTCAAAAAGTACTGAAAATATTTTTATGAAACTTGAAATATGGGCAGATGGTAGTCTGGAGATTATGCCCATCTTTTTCTTTTCTTGCTATGTTGAAAATTCTGGTTGCTATGGCAACAAATAGCCTGAATTTCAAGATTTCTGATTTAAAATTTTCAGCTTTTTTCACTATAAGTTCTTTATTTCTTAAGGTGATTACTTCAAACTTTAAATATATTAAGTTTCTGGCCATCAACCACATCATATGTGACAATGTTTACAACTCTAGCACAAAAATAATCAGTATTACCTCCCTTAAACTTAGAATTTTTATGAAAAAAAATGTTGTCTTTTTAAATAACTTCTTTATTTCCTAATGTATCTACTTCAAACTTCATATATATGTTTCTTATTATCACTCAACATTTTTGAAAAGGTTAAATACTCTAGCAAGACTATTTCCAGAATTATCTCCCCCTTGAACTTAGATTTTTTTTCGAGAAATTGGTATTTTTCAATCAAACTACTTCATTCCTTATAGGATTTACTTTAAAATCCCACATCGTAATAATATGACAAGGTTGTATAAACATAATTTCCTTACTACGCAGGGAAACTTAACACATTACTGTGATATAGACAAACTTAGAACTCAAAAGATTTAAGTTCATTCATGTCATTCATCCACTGGTAAAATTGAATGGCCAATGCCCATCAGAATGTTGCTGGGGTTCTAACCGGTAGGGGACTTATGGATTGCTTGCAATACTATGATAATTGCTTGTTAATCACAGGCCGACCTTAGGTCCTATATATGTATAAGTAATTTCGCGAATCTTGGATTAATTGTAATCGGCAAGGGATAGAATTTTGAATCGGAACCATAATGAGACAGGAAATAAGAAAAACTTATTCCTTCCTGTGTGCTTCGATAAATAATTGGACAGGGAACCAAAATAACCTTCAATTAGGAGCAAGAAAACTTGTCCCCAATATTTGCTAAGTACTTCCGTTTTTCAAAACCACCACTTTTAAAGATACTCGCGTTATCTTTATGCTCGCTTTACGAGCAGACCCTCCGGATCAGCTCTTCGAGCTCGCTATTACGAGAAGCTAAAAACAGGTTCCCGAATCGAGCGTAAGGGCCGCGGGCCGAAAAGTAATGTTGCCATGTGACATTAAGAATTGTTACCCTCTGACGTCTCATAAGTAATGATGTTATATAGAACAGAGAACAGAACATAGCTTTTCTTACTTATAACATGATTATTTATTCATTTTACTACACATTTTTCACATTTATTATTTGTAACCGCAACGGACATTGTAAATGTTTAAATATTTTGAAATAAAATCTTGAATCTTGATACGTTCTTGATTGGCTATTTAGCGCAACTGCAAATCGGTCAATAACATAATTCTGATATATTCGATTCATTTTACTTCTTACATCCATCAATAGTTATTTGAAGAGAATATATATACTAGTAATTGTTTAAAAAAAAACTTTTGAATCAACAAATACTAATGTTGTTGTTTGTTCTACTGCTTTTAAAATTTGGGCCGCGGGCCGAAAAGTAATGTTGCCATGTGACATTTAGAATTGTTACCCTCTGACGTCTCATAAGTAATGATGTTATATAGTCGTCTTGGGTGTTTGTAAGGAGTAAAGCGTTAAATGAAAAATGAGAATTATATTCCCTGTGTGTTTCATAGTATGGCAGAATCAGAGACAGCCTAGGACTGAGTAGCAGATTAAAACAGCAGAAAGACAAAAGAGATGCACAGTTAAAAATCAAACGAGGTCTAGACGGACAGGTAATTTTTTTTACACTTTTCTAAAAGTAGATCTAACTCCACATCACCCACCTACTTAGACGATATCTCCTTATCCGATTTTTTTATCATGTGATTTTTTTTCTGTTTTCATTGTTGACGATAACTCTTTCTGGACATGCTAATGCCTTTAAACGCGTTTTTAATTATATGTCAGATGTACAGATAATTTAACTTATCTTTTATTAAAACACTGTTGCAAATGTACTTGGATTGGTCTTTTCAGGTTTGCGAAAGCAGTTTCGAGGACGACTTCTCACAGACAGTTGAGGCATTCATAGAAGAAACAGGTGTGTAACTTTGTTCTAAATTTGAAAACAAATGTATATTTAACACTTCATTAAATGATAAAATCACAATTTTATTACAATCATATACTTTGGTGTTATGTTTCGTTTTCAACTTTGCCTAAAATGTTAGATATGTGTTTTTATATTTTATATCAACTTTTGCTTAGTACCATAAGTTAATTTTAATATAGTCACAAGTATAAAACAGATTTCTTTCAAATTTTTAGAAATTCTGATTCAGCAGTGTATTAACAGAGTCCCCTGACCTGAATCCGTGTTGACTTATCCGTTACAACTCGTCTAGATAGCAAGGAAAGCATGCACCCCAATATTGTCATGTTTTTGATGGGGTGTTCAATCACATGTCGTTTGTTCAATGGCGACATTACCGGCTTATTGTCATTAAGTGACTTACATTTCTTACAACTGTCATTTTGATTTTGCAAATGCTAACATTAAGTGGCATCTGAGAGAAGCAGAGTTATGGAGGTCTGAAGGGATGGTGCAGCAGGGAGCCACCTTCCGCCCGGTTGGTGCAGCGTTGGGTGTACACCACACCGTCATCACCAGCGCATGGTAGAGAGATACCGCTACATGGTACACAAGCCAGGAGGCATGCTGGAGATCGGCAAAGGGTCGCAACACCAGCTCAGGATCGGGATTTTGTTGTTCAGGCACATCATGCAAAATTTTCGACAGCAACTTCTCTTGAAAATGACCTTGCTTTATCGGAAGGGTCCGTGTTTCCACGCAGACGGTACGTAGAAGGATACATGAAGGTAATTTACGATCGAGAAGACCTTGCATACGTAACCCCTTGACGCGTTGATATCGTCAGATGTGTTTTGAATGGACCATGGAGCATACACGGTGGACTGTACAACACTGGAGACACGTTCTGTTCACTGATGAGTCCAGGTTCTGCCTAGACTTCATAGATAGGCGTGTTAGAGTCTGGAGAAGACATGGTGAACGGTTTTAGACTGAAAATAATATTGAGCATGACCGCTACGGAGATGGGTCAGTTATGATGTGGGGAGACATCAGCTTGGATGGACCATACCACATGGTTGTACTAAGTAGAGGCACATGACAGGTCAGCGATACATAGAACACATCTTAGACCACCAGATTAGTTTGTATGCTAGAGCAGTTGGCGATCAGTACATTCTAATCGACGATAATGCTCGTCCCCAATATTGCCAGGGTGGTCCAGTACTATCTAAAGAGGGAGTCTATTGAGCGCATGGACTGACTAGCTCGCTCACCTGACTGAATTCCAATAGAACACATGTGAAATTATCTGCAGGTTGGAAATTCAGCCCGTCAGCTGCAACCAAGAACCATACAGGAGCTTGAAGCCTTGTTGGTCCAAGAAAAGGCAGCCATAAACGTTCGAACGATCAGAAACCTAATGGGGAGTATGAGGTGCTGCCAAGCTGTCATTGATAGTCACAGGTCACACACACACGGTATAAAGTTCAAAACTGTAAAGAAAAAAAAACAAAAAACAACAACAACAACAATTTAACTAATTTGGAAAAATTAAGATCAACAAGGAAAGGCGGCGATCAATAAACGCAAACTCATTTATATGTATAATGTAAAATTCTTCCTCCAGCTGATTTGATTAAACAGTAAATCAACATTTAAAACCTTTCGCACGGCGTTAATAAAATTATTCCAAAAACATTCACACTAAACATATGTGCTTAGCAAAAGTTGAGTATTATATTTTTTCCAGACTTCAAAGAACTTGACGATTATGTACATGAACCATGGATAGGGAAAAATCTTAACAGGTAATTATTCATCATTTTGTTTCTTCATTTATCGTATTTTAACATTTTCCACACAGTTCTAATGTTTATATGGAACGTTTTATCTACTAAGTATTACTAAGTTTTATTAAGTATGTCAAAATTGTGTATGTTTCATATACGAAAAGGAAATGAAGACAAAATAATTGATATTTGATATGGCCACAAACACCTGATTTCTTGTTCTAAAGATTGTTTACAGAAATATTTTAAGCGAGAGGGGGGGAATTTTTTTTCCTAAATGAGCGAACGAGCGAAAAAATGTTTTTTTTCCGTTACAAATGTTCAGTTCTGAGAAGCGAGCGAAGAATAAAAACATATGAAGTATATGTGTTAGTCCAGGTTAGACCCTATCTCATTACAATTAATAAAATTTCCATTATTAATAAGGAAGGTGCGGATCCAGGATTTTATCAGAGGGGTTTACAAAATTTCAACAATGTTTAATAAGTCGCCGGTAGAAACTGGCGACTATATTTGAAACAGTTTAATATTATACCTATGGTAGTAGAAGGCCTTAAAATATGAAAATAAAAGCATATCAATTACTTAACAATAAAAGACCACACTTGTTTTTCAGTAATCTCAAAAATTCAAACATACAATAACGTGAAATGAAATATTGACATCTTAAAAAGCAGCATTTCGATTTTAATAAAATGAATTAATGATGTATCCCTATGGATAAGTCATTGATTTACATTTTTCAAAATTTCAAGCGTTGCTATATTATGATAAATAAATCATGCATGATATTTGAATGACACTTTAAAATTATTTGGTTGTTTATATCTTATGAGACCTATTCTATATTATTATTTTATTTATTATAAACAGTTTCTCCCTGTTCTTTTGTAAGAATCACGAAACTACACGTTGTATGTAAGTGTTAAAAAATCTTTTAATAGTAACAAATGGCTGGTAAGACATAAATGTAACTTGTGAATGGTTTGGCACAAGGTGTAGAAGCTGTTCAAAGTCCAAATCAAAGTAATTTTGTATGAATAATTACAAAGTTATTTTCCATTAATCCGTTTCATATCTTATACCATTACAAAGGTAAACTCATATGTTACACATTTAAAATTGATTTTTAAAACCTTTTCATCAGGTTATACTTGGCTCTTTCTGTTTAACTTTTGACAAGAACGTTCGATAGTTTAGTTTAGGTTGAACATCACAAAATAAATATTTGCGTAAGAGGCACATTATTGATATATATAGAGGTATACATTCCGTCGATTTCCGTCGCGCAGGTTTCCAAAACGGTATAACGGTAGGGGGCCTAAACTGTATTGGATACATAGAGAAAACTGATCATCAATCTTTGTGTTGATAGTTTATCGCACTGAAAGGCAATTAAACGTTAACTATATCGTTTAGGTAACGACGGGAATATTGTTACGCTCCTGCGCTTGGTAGTGACCTGTAACTATCTCTCTCTTGTATAGTGTCGAGCTGCCCCAGGTGACTGTCAATGTCTGCTGGCCAAATCTTCTGTAGGCTGCCCTCTACTTCTTGTCTTTGTCTTACAGCCCGTCTGTAGACTGCAACTCTGCTCTATAGATCACAGCTATCCCTTCTTACTGCTCTCTGACTTTTCCCCGTTCTTCGTTTGACAGCAACTACCCTTTATGACTGCTCTCCGTGACTGTGTTGTTCTCATGTAGACAGCAACTACCCTTTCTGACTGCTCTACGTGACTGTGTGTTGTTTCTTATGTAGACAGCAACTATCTTTTGACTGCTCTACGTGACTGTGTGTTGTATATGTAGCAACTATCTTTTGACTGCTTGCCGTGATTACCCGTCACGTCGTCTGCTACTGCTAGTTGACTGTACAAAGTTCGAACTTCAACGTTAAAAATAATTGAGGAGGGAAAAATTACAAATACGTTTTAAAGTTTCTAAAGTTAATTAAACAGCTTGAATATAAATTAACTGTAAGTTATTAGATCTATGTCACAGAAAATCGTTGTGTTACATACACATACAGTTTAAAGTTACAATCTAAAATTCCCTCGCTAAAGTTTATAATCAAAATAAGAAAAGTTTGAACTTCACAAAATAAATGTCAAATTCCTTAATAAAATCGTTAAATCCCAAAATAAACTAATAAAATCGTTGTGCACCAGAATAATTTCGAATAAAAGCCAAAGTATTGAGAATTTTAAAGTAAAAGCCAAAACGGTGCACAAAGTGAAATTTTGGATGTTGAAGCTCCCGACTGAAGGAAAGCTGGCTATTTATATGCCACAGTCCCCACACATTCCATAACGTTGTGGAAAGAACGCTCCACAGTTATTTTGTGGGCTCCACAGTTTTTCTCGTGGGAAGACGTCCCACAGATTTTCTTGTGGAAGGAACGCTCCACAGCTTTTTCTGTGGGCCCCACAATAATTTTGTGGGATATCTTCTGCGCCAAAAATAGGCACCTACATAACAAAATATATACATTATATACATCAAAACTTGTAATAAGAATAATCAGATTAAAATATTACATTTTCGAAGTGACAATATAAGGTAACAAATTATTATCATCGGGATAAAGAACTATCCCTTGCATTCACTACGTAATAGTAGTAGACATGGCCGACATGGAAATGTGCATTTCAAATTATCATAAATATACATAGTTAACAATTAAATTCAGATGGATTAATAATGCAGATTTACATATTAAATGTGGATGCATCATATACAACCAAACTTTAACATCTTGAGTGTGAAATAAAGGAATTAACTATTGTGACAGAAGTCACGAAAACAGATTTCTACCATGGATAACATTTAGGGAAAATATTCCAGAATCAGGAAGGATTAAATTGCTGGCACAATACGTAGATTTACGTCGATGTCCTGTATGTTTCATTAGGACACCACAGGATTTACTGTGTTGTCGCCAGTAAAACTTCTCAAAATGAAAGTGAAAGTAGAAATAAACAAGACTGAAATCCAGTGAACTCACAATAGGTAAAATTTCTAGGGCATTACAATATTGATTTCAACTAAATTATATATTTTTTCGATTGTGCATAAGAATACTTTTTTATGCAGACACCCTTTTCAGAGAATTTCATTTTTATGCAATAATTAACCATATATATTTTCATAGTCACTTTGCAAATAGTCGATGATCGGTAATTATTTGTCGGTAATTATCGAATTCTGAAGTAAACCATACGGATTTCCATGTATGTTACAACGGTATATTTATAAAGTAGAATTAAAAGATATGATAAAAATTAATTTATGAAAACTACACACAGGATTTGTCTATGATTCGAAAAATTGCGCCTACTATGTTACAACTTCGTCATGCTTACCACCAGGCCATCAAGCAGTTTTGATTAATATATAATTATACTTGCAATAAAATCTTTTACATTAATCATAATAAGTTACGGAAACTAACGAAAAACCTCCCGAAAAGTCTAAGGTCAATATCGCCAAACAATACTTACTAATTTAATAATGATTACAGTTTCTTGACAATACTGCTAAGCAAGTTTGCTTCAAATATGATGTTTCATTATGAATAGGCATTACTCAACATATTGTGTCTCTTTTATGTATACCCGAACCATTAAACTGATATTTGCTTATATTTTTGAAATAATCATAATTTTATCCGGCGACTTGGTGCTTTAAAATCAAAGCATTATGTAAAGTAATTTTATATTTTACTACAAACACATTTTACTATGATTGTTATATAATAGTCAAAGTCATGGGAGTTGTTAAGATTTTTTTCTTTCCAAGACTCTTTGTTATCATACAATCATAAAAATATGTATAAACATTAAAAAAAACATGTTATTTCAAGAAGTAAAAGCTTTGATGTCATATAAAATGACATAGTCCTGTGCCTGTTCAATCATTTAATTAGAGCTGTGTATAGTGGGTTCTTTTACCTAAATTTTCCTCATTTTTGCAATCATCCTTATGAAATTGGGGAAATTTTGCATAATTATTAAACATGATAATGAAATTTAGGATAATTGAAATCGATTATACCAGAATTTTCAAAACACTGTTCACTTATATTCGCAGCAACATAATGATTTCTTTGAGACAAGTTTTTCATCTCTTCCTTTCAATTACATGTATATTTTAAATCCTTTTTGATTGGTTATTAATGCTATGATCTTTTTTAACCAAACATTCGCATCTCTCAATTTTCATTAATTTCAGACTTCGTACGATATAATTAACTTAAAATAAGTCTGTGTCTTAATTTTTCATTTTTCGGCTGCGAAGCATCATCTGCATGATCCTAAAAGCCTCCGACGATGTAAAAATTGTTAAATCGGAGAGCGCCTGTTTTATTTGTCACTTCGACATTATGGTATACAAAAATGGACTATACTTCTGATTTAGTGTAATGAGAGTAGTTCACCGACACTTTATATCGTGGAACATGGCTAAAATTGAATCGTGCGAAAAACAGGTCGTCTCTATCTAAAAGGGAACTGTTTTGCTTTTGACAAAACGCATCGGTGTCAGAGCTGTTACATTACATTGTCATGCAACATTAATTTATCTAATTGATTACCTTCAGAAACTAGAAAAACAAATTGTTTTGAAGAAATTCAAACATATATATCTTTTAAAGTTTTGTATTTATCTTTTGAGATGATTGGTATGGTGTTGTGCGGACATTGACCGGCTTCCAAAACGTAAATAGTCGTCTTTTATATATGAAAGCGAGATCACACGTGTGCGGTTTTATTTGGTTATATTGAGGAACTGCCAGATGCTTTGTGGGCATATCAATCAATTAATTTGTTTTCTTTAATTTCCTCCTTGTCGGTTACTATTATTTCTATTTAAGTATTATTTAAGTGATTAGCCAGTCCGTGATCTGACATGCACACTGTCCTGTTTTTGTTTGGGTCCTCCTGGGCTCCATACCACTGGTAGTTGTTTCTGGGTCGTCGTGTGGGGGTTGCTTACATTAAACGCCGCTTTTCCTTGTGTTTATCATATTTTAATACCCCATCATTGGTGTTTATGCTTAAATTGTAAGGAGCTCCTCCGAGGTCAAAAAAGCCTAAAATATTTGCTTAGATCAAGTCAAGCACTTAAAATGGAAAAGTCTTCAAAAGATTACAAGTAAATTAACTGAAATAAATGGAAATTGTTTTTTGCATGATTCTTTCGATTTGCTTGAAATTAAAAGCGTTGCAACACTTCTGTTTGGGTCATTGTGCGCTATATCAATGACGATTCTGGACAAAAACGGGTTGATGAAATGATCTCATAGTTTACACTTAAGTTACTTACATAAAATGATGAAAAAATCTCGGGAAAATATCTGTAGTCATGTCATGCCTCAGTTGAGTCCTATTAAGGTTTTATTGTTGATCATTTTCTTACTATATCGTTTATCTATAGAATGATTAATATCTAAGTCATTATGATAAACTTAGGCATAATAATCCTCTCTTTATTTAAATAAGGCTCGTACTGTAGCACAATTATTGGTAAGCTTTCCTTAAGCGTACCCGTCCTGTTTCATGATAAAACGAGTAGTAGTATGGACATGATGGAATTTCCATATCGTCCCGCTTCATCTTTAATTTCAATTTTCACAACTGGCGGATCTAAATAGACATTTGTAAAGGTAGCATTTTATCTGGCTCTTCTCAATGAATGCAGTGCACAGTAGTTTGATTAAAATCAGGTTCTAATTAACGGTACACGTTAGGATCTGATGGACCACAATATGAGGTTACCTTCTCGTGATCTTTTAAACAGTCATCTGCCTGCGAGTTTTTACAATGTCAAAATCGATGCTGTTTCTAATTTCAAATGCTTGGAAAACAATACTGAGTAGGTAATTTTCACAAAATTGAAAATATACATGGCGTTGTCTGTATAGCCGACAGGTAAACAGGCAAAACAATCTTGCCAATGAAAATTGAGTCTATATTTCCAATTTATTTTTTTCATATTACAATTTATTTTAACACAAAATTTGTTTTACTTCCACGGACAGCGATATTTTTATAGCTTAAATAGTTTTCTCGGGAAATCCGAATCCCAGTGAAGGCGAAACAAATATGGAAGCAATCAATCTAAATAAGAGAAGTTACTGTAGATCTCAACTTTAATCAGATTTTTTGAATTTTAGAAATTGTGTTTATTGTTACCTGTGTGAGTTAGTTGTTACATTTAAGCCTAAAGGTAACGATTAACTATGAAGTTTAGAGCCATTGTGATTTAGCCGGCGGTCAATGTCGTTATGTAGGTTAATTTCCAACGCTGGAGGTATTTGTTTATGTTGGTAACAAATGACAAATCACATTTTGCTTCTAAAATATATTGTACAAATCGCAAGTAAGTCGCATAATTATGTAGGATCGGATAATGAAATGATCATTTTCTTTGTTACAGGTTGCTTCAACTATCACAAGAAAAGGTAACTTTTTATATGTAAATCAAATACAAATACAAGTAAAAAAGATACAATATACTTTAAGGTAAAAAGTCCTCTCTTAATAATATTTATATACTGGTTTCCTAGCAGTTTCCGTCCCCTAGCAGTTTTCCGGCCGTTTATCATTTTCGTCCAGTAGAGTCTATTTTTACCAGTAAGGCATTAACATTACTTTATCAATCAGAGAGACATTTGTTTTCTATGCTAAACAGCATTTAAAATAGTACAACAATTTATTTGTTTTGAATTTTTGCCTGTTATCTAAAGTTACATAAAAGAACTTGCGACTTTCAAAAATAAGCAACACCTGAGTAATTCTAGTTTGAGTATCCATGCGCAATAACTAAGACCCCATTTTCGGTAAATCAATACTTCAGAAAATATTTTTGCAGACGACACAGAAAAGGTTGGGAAGTTCTGTTTGACTGATTAAACCATCTAAACATTGCTTTATGGTAAACTGAATTATATTCAAAATAAAAATGGTCCGGAAAACTGCTATGAATTTTTGAATAAAGGTGAAAAAAGGTGTTACATTTCAGGCCTATATTCAAATTTAAAAGTAAAATGGAAGTGCAACATTAAACACATGGCAATGCTGAACAGGTACCTAGTTTTGTCCTGTCAAAGTTTAATACCCCTCCGTAGACTGATTTTTATTTTATTTGTTAAATAGTGCGATTTGTGGCCGGAAACTGCTAGGAAACCAGTATCCAATGAGTGAACATGGGATGTGGTTTTAATCCTTGACTGGAATTTTCTTGTATTTGTTTCTTCCGTTTGATCAAATAATTGTTTTTCTCTTCGTTGTTTTAGAACAAATCTATGTTTGAAAAAATTGCAGCTTTAAACAAACGTTTTGTAAAATTAGTAATAACAGGATACCTTACCAACTTACTAATTAGGTGTAAACCTCCTCTATGTTTTGAACCAATGTTTAAAATTGCATCTAGATATCATTGAAGCTATGTATAACGATAGCAATAAGTTTCATTTTCTTTGAACGTCGTCTCTTGAAATGATTTTCCCTATATTATATAAGAGATATTTGTTTGTTTCTGAGAGTGAGAATAAATCTTATTTCATCGAGTGAGATTTGAAAACAATATTCTCACGACTGTTTTTGAAGTTTACAATATGAAATGAAATTACATCTTATACAACATGCAAACAAATATCCTTTTTATTTCATGCTTAAATACAAGTTTAAATGAAATTTTTTCAATATCGGCTTAAATTTTAAAATCTGTTTCCCCACTGGTAGCCTCAATTTCAAACAAATTCTCATAAATACATGGTATAAAGCTAAAAGATAAGTTCAAGAATCAGAGTTAAATGGCGATAATATTATGTTTTTTAAACGATCGCTTGTTTTTGTTTTAATAATGAAAACAAACAATTCTAGAAGATGAAAAGTTAAACAATGCAGACCTCAGATCCGCGAAATGGCGGAAGTATATATTAAGCCATGTAAGCGACCACCTTTTTTTAAAGGAAAGAATAAAATGTGTTTATTGGAGGTAATTTAATTCAATCCGACAATTTTACATCTATTAATAAGAAAGAAACAAATCCAAGGTTTGAAAAAGCGACTAGAAATTTGAAAAGCATGGTTTGTTTTGAAAGGCTGTCTTACGAACGCTGGGTTATTTACTTATCTTGACTGCCATGGCTTTTACATACTGCATTACCGTTATGGCTTGTTGAAGTAAGTGTAATTTTTAGACTGTTATGAATTAAATCAAAACGATATTTGGTGATCAGTAGATTGAATGAATTGAAGTTTTATCCTTGATAGAGTTGAAATTTAAGTTTTTATCAATTTCCTGATTATGTCGGAATTGTAAAACAAACAGAAAGTGAGGTACCACATGTCCAAAATCGTTAAAAAGTACTTTCTTTATTGAATAGTGCGAATTATATTTTGATAAATCTTACTCCGAAATAATCAAATATAATGTTCACGGATAAATCAGTTATCCACCACTCAAAAGCATAAAATAAATCATAATAATTATTTAAGGTATGACCCACCTAATGCATTACCTCCACTTTGAAGAGTACTCAAATAGGCTAGAACTGCTGTCAACTGCATTGAAACTGAGGGGCGCGGGTTCAAGCCCCAGAAGAGGCAACTTTTTTTTCTTTTTTTTCTTTGAAAAGTATTTGTGTCTCTCAGAACACTCTTGATGAGAAAAAAGTGTTCCATTATAATTGGTATGTATTGGCTAAATTGTGCCAAATTTATTATCAAATATGGAACCTGATATTTTCAAAGTATAATAAAATAAAAACAAGACGGAAAAAGCATTTTATATTTGACAAGCACAACCAATATACGTTTAAGAAAATTTGAGTAAATTTTAGGGATATTTTGAATAAGGCCCTCCAAGTAGAAAAATGATCAAACAACTACTTAAAATGGGTGGGGTAGGGTAACATTTATATACATATTTCAAACATTTTGAGTAGAAAAAATAATTTTGCTGGGTCATTTGTAAGCTGAATGCTATTATTTGTTTCTTAAAAATGTTCTATAGGAAAACATATTTTCATAATGATTATATAATAGAATATTTAGAGTTTCTCATTTCTGAAACAGAGCCCTTCTAATAGCCAAATTTTACTTAAGAAAAATCTCAATAACTCGTAAACCATACGGTAAACTTTGTTTAAATTTTGCATTTTTGTGTCTTTTAAGGTATATAACTGACCTATGTTGTCAATTTTATAGTTCCTTATAGTGCCTATTAGCGGGCTCATACCTTAAGATGACAATAAGTTAAACTTTTTGATTGTTTGGTCATAAGATTTCCACTTCAATGTTAAAAGTGTATCACTTCAAAACAAAATATATACTATAAAAATATATAAAGTTTTTAAATATGTTTAAGTCTAAATATCAATTTCCAGGACTTAAATGAACCAGATACTGAAATGATCCCGTCAGGAAGTATAGATGAAGAGTCGACCACATCAACTAACGAAGAAATGTCTGACATTAATTGTGGTAAGGAAACGTCGTTTTCTAACCTCTTTAAAATTGTTTAAGAAATAGACATCAATTCTGAGTGCATTGTTGTAGAAAAATGCACGGCGTAGTAATATAATCACAAAGGCCGATAGGCCTGAGTGATTAATTACAAAGCATTTGAACGAAGAATTAATATCTATTTCCATTCTAACACGTCAAGAAAAAATATAATTATTATTTTAAAGTTGGACTTTATGTTTGGTTGTTAAATTTGTTTTCGCCTCAGAGTTTCCAATAGAAACGTGCTTTAAAGGCCGTTCCAGTGGGTTGAAAAAACTGTCGTTAAATCTACCGTGTGTAGAAACATTTTGAGAATAACGAATTTTGAAAACGTTGATAAAACTTTGTTTGTTTATTTTATTTCACTCTATAATTTTTTCAAGTGAAATACAAATTATCAAAAGTGAAATAAATGTAAAACTTAACTCGTTTGCGACATTAAAATAGCGTACTTGATTTGATTGTTTTGCACGTGCTGTTTGACGCTACATTGTGACGTCACGTAAACAACATTTTAAACGTCTGTATAGCGTTAACGACTGAATTAAAGATATTGGTGTTCGGATTAATTTTCTTAGTTAGATCATTTTCTTTCATTCTAGATAGTTTTCACAACAAAATAAACAAAAAATTGTTTTTGATTTATTAGATTTTTCAAACAAAATGGCGCCCTCAATGTGAAAAAACACAGGTAGATAATAAGAACGGCGAGTGCATTGTTGTAGAATAGTGCACGCTTCAGGCCTTCTTTGTTTCTATAGAAAATTTCCGATAGTGTTAGAATATTATATTTTGCATAACGTACTTTACTTTCAAAGTATTTCAAAGAAAATAAAATGATTTTTTTGTAAATCATTTTAGTTGAGTGTATGCCAGTGACGGAGCCTAAATCAAAAATCGATGAAGTAAGACCAAAAGTTGGCTTCACACCAAACTTGATATCACCATCAACAGAATCTGCACTTGGGGCGGATTTTGCAACATACGCACGATGTGAACCTGCAAATAAATATAAGCAAACAAATGCGGACAGTATTAATAGTACATTTCCGGAATATTATCAAAATCAAAATCAGGATTTCTTTAATATAAAAGGATATGTACGAAGTATACAGACGACAAACGAGACAGAAATTGGACAGAGAAGTTGTGTTCTTCAGCGCAACGGCACACCTTTTTACCAATACACACAAAGGCAAGTTTTCAGCGTGCCGCCAAGAGTAATTAATGTTGTTGAATGTCCTTTGGAATTTGAAAGCATCAATTTATCAATTTATAACGATTTTGAAAGTAATTCCAATAACATAAATTCTACACCTAACTTCCCTATAACCAGCATTGAAAATCCAGAACAAGCAGCTAACTACAAAATAGAAAATAAAGAATCCATAGTTGAAATGAATCAAACGAAGTGTAATAAAACAACCATTGAGGCGTTAAACTCAAAACTAAGGTGCACTAAAACGTGTCCTGATGATTCATTGCCTGGGGGCCCTGGTAATCTGCCGTGTTTCCCGAAGTTGTTTGATTGATCTTTAGTTACAAGAAGAACACTTATTCTTAAATAGCAGCTATAACATTTTCCTCGGAAACTCTAAATACGATCGACGATGCCAAGATTCTCGATCTCGGGTTTCTGTATTCCTGTGCACAAAGATGTAATATCTGTTCACCTAATATCCTCTCATAAACGAACCTGTCCTTAGGTTATTCAAATAATAAATAACATCTAAGTATTTACGTATAAAGTAAAACACTTATTGTAATGTATATACTAATGCACTAGTGTTATTATAACACACAACTATTTACTCAAAACTTTACAACATTACATCATTTAGCCTATTTAAGGAAACTTATCTAACGAGTGAATCCAGTTTGAACTTCTTACTTTAATTTCCATTCATTCTTCATTATGTAGTTCTGAAATTTAAAGGTTTTAACACACTATTTCTCACTATTTTACTTAGTCTATCATTATTTTTCACCGTGTAAATGTGACTCTAAAAGCCCTTAAAAATTGTGTTTTTGTTTCAATTGATGAATAGTTAAAGACACCCAATCATCTATAAGTGACAATGTTTATTTTATATGTTCCAATTACAGGCGACAGTTAACTTGAACGGTTATGTACAATAGAAATGTTATAGCTAAATATTAAAATGTCCTGTTCAAAAAAGTACTTGTTCAGTAATACCATTTACTGTATATTTTAATACATCTCTGCCTAATATTATTGAAATCTTAAAAAATATTTGGATCTATTGCTTTTGTTTGTTAAAGAAAGTATTAAATCTTAACATAACAAGTTCATGTCTTTTCTAGCCTATAGACGTCCATAAATATAGGGCATTTTCTAATTTGATCCTAAACTTAAATGTAAGTACATGAACACATTGTAACAATATAATTGTAAGTTCACAATTTAATAGCAGAATTACAGGTCGATATTTTGATTTTTATAATGATGTTAACTGCACTTCACATTTTATAACTGTAAAAGTTGTAATAAGCAGTATGTAGGTCAATCAAAATGTATCATTCAAAATGAATAAACTTATGTTTGGTATCAGGAATTGTAACATTAATCCATTGTCACATGTTGCGATCCATTTTGGATCACCTGATAATAATTGTACAATGTCAGATTTTTCTTTTTGGCTTTGTAAATTATAGATAGGCCGTTTATGGATGAGAAGAACTAATATATATTTATTGAGTACTAATTTCAATTTTGTTTTGTGTATTTGACAATCCAACTTGAATTATAAATGAAATACGGCTTGTAAATCCGACTTGGAACGAGCTGCATTGAGAAAAATTCTTTTTGGATTTGTCGTCTAGGAATGAATAGTTTGCTTTGTTTATTTAGGTACAAAACTTTCTTATGTTTTTGCTAGATATATTTTGTTTCGTGTTCTATCTTTGTATATATGTTAGCCAAGAATTTATACGCGTTGCTGCAAGTTTAATTAGTTGTATAATCTAAATACAATAGTATTCATGTGAAAAAGATTCATTTTAATCTTAAGGTATATCAGAACACCATTACGTCTAAATTTCATTTTATATATTATTAAGAAAATATTTATCACCTTAAAAGAAATTGTGTTTATGCTTTAGATGTGTTATTATATTCATTACATGTGCTTAAAATACTACAATCTTCTTTATTGTAATCCATTAGGAAATAAAAAAAAAATAAAAGCTCTATATTGTCTAGAACTTTTTGTAGTGTTCTTTTCTTTTACAAATAGTATATTTGATATGTTTATCTTTAGCCTAATAAACTTTTTCTCAGATCGAATTTTACACACTATCATTGCTATAACAGTCATATCAAAATTTAGCTGAAATTGTGTATGACTTTATATGCCTCTTTGGAAGAAAACAAATTAGGTATGCCCAAATAAGAATGTATCGAAACACCTTCACTTGCACACATATATCCTTTAAAAAGATAACAGATTTTAATTAATATTTTAGTTGGTCCCTTCGAAATATTCACTTGCAACAGCTTTGCGATCACCTGATAATAATTGTACAATGTCAGATTTTTCTTTTTGGCTTTATAAATTATAGATAGGCCATTTATGGAAGGACTAATATATATTTATTGAGTACTAATTTCAATTCTGTTTTGTGTATTTGACAATCCAACTTGAATATAAATGAAATACGGCTTGTAAATCCGACGAGCTGCATTGAGAAAAATTCTTTTTGGATTTGTCGTTTAGGAATGTATAGTATTGCTTTGTTTATTTAGGTACAAAACTTTCTGATATTTATGCTAGATATATTTGTTTCTTGTTTTATCTTTGTATATATATCATGTTGTATAATCTAAATTCAATGTTATTCATGTGAAAAAGGTTCATCTAAATCTGAAGGTATATCAAAACACCATTACGTCTAAATTTCATTTTATATATTATTAAGAAAATATTTATCACCTTAAAAGAAATTGTGTTTATGCTTTAGATGTGTTATTATATTCATTACATGTGCTTAAAATACTACAATCTTCTTTATTGTAATCCATTAGGAAATAAAAAAAGAAATAAAAGCTCTATACTGTCTATAACTTTGTTGTAGTGTTGTTTTCTTTTGATATGTTTATCTTAAGCCTAATAAACTTTTTCTCAGATAGAATTTTACACACTATCATTGCTATAACAGTCATATCAAAATTTAGTTGAAATTGTGTATGGCTTTACAAATAAGGTATACTCAAAAAGGAATGCATCTAAACACCTACACTTGCACACACATATCCTTCAAAAAGATGACAGATTTTAATTAATATTTTAGTTGGTCCCTTCGAAATATTCACAACAAAAAATCAACAGCTTTGCGAAGTTTCCGATCGATTTCTTGAAGATTAGTCTTTTCTAGGTATACTGTGCTCCTCTTAGTTCACGGTACTTAACGCTTTGAAACCAGAAAGAAAACAACAAATGAAACTTATGGTACAAAAATTGTCATAATCTATAACATATAGGTATTTTCTGCTTAATGACTCAAGGAAACAGCAATTATATATTCAGTCAATTTTAATGGACCAAACGTAGACCATATGTCGGCTATTTTGAAAACAGTATGTCATCATGTAAATCGCGGTAATGGTGTTACATTTCAGTTTTTTCATGTTTCAGTTTAAATTTATACATATTTCTTTGCTTGATTTTAAATATTAAAATTATCCTTACTTTGTAACTCAAAATTTATTTTTCCAACTAACAAGAACATTTAGAAAGTGATGATTGTTTCAGACATACACATAAATTTAATGGACTGTCATTGCTTTTTACAGAAATTTGTAAAATGTTCTTTTTTACGTAATATTCTAGAGATTTAAAATATTTTGCACAAAAACTTTGTTGCATAGGTGTATGAATCAAATATATCAATTCTAACTAAATTTAAAACTGGCAACATGAAAATATGCCATTACCGTGAAATAAGTGATGACGCGGAATTAGTGATGTTGAGTATATATTATAAGACACTGGACTATTTCGAAACCAACACATTTTCTGTTAACAAATTGATGGTATTAAAGTGCCTTAAGAACAAACATAGTCACTCGGAGCAGAGCCGGGCAAATAAAAATAGTGAGAGCATATAAAGCTCTTCTTGCTTCAGAAAATTATAAACAATAGAAGCTTTGTGCGATGACGAAGTCTCATCATGCAACCTCGCATTGTCTAAATGTTTTGCGAGTCTTGATTTTTTAAAAATGTTTCTTTGAGTTTACGAAGAAAATTAGTCTTGTAAAACTGCAGAACCCTGTATTGAGAAGAATATGTCATTATTACTTTCTTAGCAAATAATGGTTGAATTGGCAATGCATAATATTTCGCCAGACTTTATTGCCCATTATTGGTTTGGTTTGAAATATTTCGTTTGTGGCGAGAAAAGTAGAAAAGTAAACAATCCCATGTCTCATCACCAGTAATATGAAGAATTTGCAACAGTATGAGTCAGCAATCTTCAGCATCATCATGACACAGCTCACGTATTTTATATACGTGGTCATAATGTAAAGACTTTATAGACAACAACTCAACAATCTTAATTTTCAGCTGATTTTTATTATCTATCATTGAGGGAGATAACATTTATGATGTTCTTATGTTATTATGCATTTACACACAGACTGTTGTTAATCGACTTTATCAAAGGCGAATCTGTCTGTTCAATGTTGTCATAAGTCTTTAATTCAATAGGAAGTATAAGGTATTTGGGTTTACAGAGTTGAGAGTTGAGTATTTTGAATTGTAAATGATTTGTGCTTTTATATATAGAATCATTTTACAGAACCTCACCATGTCTACAACAATATTTTAAATGAAAATGATTTTTTGGAAAGTTTCAACGTTATTATTTAAACTGTTACTGCTAAATTGATATTAATTCGAGAACGTGAATATCGAAAAGGGAATGTAACGATCAAGGAACGCACTCATTTATTCATCACATGATATATGCAAGCCCGGATACTTCGCAAAATAAAATAAAACAACGCTAAACGCATTCATCGTAAGCAGCATCAGTTCTGAGCTCATGTCAATACGACTCAATAGGAATAATAACTTTATGGAGATTTTATGCTGAGGCGTTTCATGTTATTACAGCAAAATAAATCCTAAGAATATTGTAGTAGAAAAAGCTCTAAACATTTTTAAATACATGGAATGCAATCCAAAGTACGTTATAAAAATCAAAGCCATAATCATAAAGTGTACATATTAAGGTGTCTGATAGGAAGTCTCGGGTTTACAATCTAATTTTTATTTCAATGTTTCTTGAATACAATTCTATTTCGGATGGAATGCGCGCAGCGACAAGTTCAACACTCAGATAACATAAGAGTATTAAAAGCTGTGACTATAATCAAGATAAGATACGATTTCTTTATTTCCTCCAAGAATGAAGAAATACATGTATACAATAACAAATACATAACAATGCAAACATACTTCACACTAAAATATTAAATACAATATGTAATATAGTACAAATGGCCTAGCAACCTTTCAACTAAACATATCCTTACGACAAAATATTACCAAAAATTGCATTGAATAACAACAAATTAAAATATCTAATTTATAAACTTGAAAATTTGAAGCATGTGTTTATTTACTTGGGTGCACGCTAGAAACTGATGGCTGTAACTCTACCTATCTCAATATAAACGAACACTTCGTTTCCATCGGTCAGTTTGAAGCAAAACAATCAAACACTGGTCATTCTTGCATACCAGATACGATTAAAAACTTTTTACACCGGTGCTAGAAAAAAACCTGTATTTCTAAATTGCGTTTTTAGAATGACGACAATTTGCCTTTATGAATTTGTATGAATGTAGTTGTAAATTCATACGCGACTATAAGAAAAAAGTGCTAAAATAGAAATATTTTGACCGATCAAAGCGATTCAAAATGTTTGGGGGAAAATACTTTTACAGATAATAATGATAAAGGTGTTAACTCTATGGATAACCTAGTCCTTTTTAAAATATAAGATAGAAATGATCGTTTGATAAGAATATCAGCATTTTCTTAGTATTATGATATGAAAAATAAGTTTTCAGGTTTGCAATTGAGAGTGATACTTCGGAGGACATACATAAGTTTTTCTTGTAATAAAGGAAACCCATGTTTTAACCCTTAATCTGCTTGGCGAAAGAATGATTTGAGAAACAGGAAAGATATGTTGCAAACATTTATTTTCTTTTACATATCAAGAACATACATGATTCACTCTTGAATGGTATTATTAACCCAATTTTGGATATGCCCCACTTCCGCCATACCTCTGACATTCTGAAATTAACAATATTTACTGTGGTTAGAAGTGTTCATAGTAATTAAGTGCAGAATCAAAAGTTAGACAAAATAAATGGAAGAAAATACAAATTTGATAGAAAAATGTAAAAATACTAGCATGATTTTTGTATATGAAACTTCATGACAAACAACTACAAAAATTTAGAATTATTCTTAGTACTTATTTGTAAAAATTCACTCAATAAAAACAAAATAAAAAATTGAAAGCAATAAAAAGTCTCAAAATGAGGAAAAAAAAACCCTCCAAAATAGCACCGGCTTGAGCTACTAAAAACTTCAAACCTAATGAACGGGAATCAATGATCCCAAAGGCCCCAAAAAAAAATAGAACCCATTTTTTAAAAAACACTAAAGTATGTAAATTTTTAAAAAGGGTCAAGAGATTTTTATTCCAATGGGCGGGGCAGGGAAAATTAGAAAAAAAAACCCCTTTTTCACCTAATTTTAAAAACATTTTTATCGTAAATCTACACAAAGAAGAGTTTCATATTGTCACAATACGAGTACACAATACACAAAAATCATCAACAGAAACTTACGCTTTCCATGAAATGTTCTTGGGATACTAGAGAGAGAGATTCCAAACATCTGTCGTAATCTAGCATCAATTTCTGCTAGAGTCATAGGGTCAGGTTTTGGCATTCTTGTGTATATATTTAAGAAAGGATCATCACAAAGATCGCCCACGGCTGACATCTTTGAGCAACCATACAATATCTTATATCGCTTAGAGTCGACAGCAGTGTAGATAGCCAACCCGCTCCATACAGATCCTAAAATAAGTAATGCAATTCATTTATAAATAATTCAGGATATGTCTTTTTTCATTATAATTTTAGCGTGTGGGTTGTAATGCACAGTTTCAATTCTATTTGTTCAGCAAGAGAGCTTTTATTGAAAACCTAAACGCATAGAGACAGGAAATAAAAGGTTTAAACCCAGAACACTTCAAAATTTTTAAAATTTTATTTGCAATGAATTTTTTATCAAGGGATAAATAAAAAAAGGGGAAAGATATAAAAAAAATAAAAAAAATTAAAAATTAAAGTTTAAAGTAGATTTTAATTTTTAAAGGTTTTTTAAACAAAGCTTTTATTTTTCCTTTTACATTTTACACGTTGATTTTTTTTATAAAAACTTTTAAAAAAATATA